GGGTTCTTTGCAGACGCAGTGATTGCTAGACCCAAAGAGGGGTGGCGTGAGCCCCGGCAGCTCTGCTGTGCCAGCTGGACAAGCAGCGGATGCCCAGGGCTGTGCTGAGAGCTCCTCTGTGCTGTGAGGAAGCTGGGAATCACATCCCGACGCTATGCCGAGGAGCGGGTTGTGGCACAGCATGGAGCTTCCCTGCAGGATTCCCCTCTGGGCCAGCTCTGCTTTGTGTCGCTTTGGAGGGTTTCTTACTCAGGGATGGACAAGGATGTTGATCCTCATGGATAAAACCTGGCGGGTGAAAAGGGCTGGGTAGGAGTCCTGTTGCCAAGAAGAACCTGGCGTCTCTTTTAAGAAAGCTGTATGACATGAAACCCTCATGACCTGCCACTCTTTTTCAGCAATACATCTGTGGCACTTTTGAGTGCGTGGTGCAGGATCTGAATAAAACGCTGGCTAGGCAATTTGAGCCCATGCTGAAGACTGTCCAGAAAAATGACAGCGTCATTCCAGGTAGAGATCCATCTTTACTCTTCTTTTTCTAGCGCCCACAAAAATGCTTAGTTGTGGGGCTAAAATTAAATATGCAGCATTGCAGAAGGCAGCGTGATTTGGGAAATGGTCAGGAGCTGTTAATAGACCCAGAGTGCAACGCAGGGATGCTGCTGCCATCCATGATGAATGTAGTTTGTGCATTCTGGAGGTGTGCCAAAGTTTGCACCTGGAAATTGTTGCTCCCTTCCAAAGCCGTGAAGAATTGCTTCAATGTAAGGCTCCCGTGCGGAAAGGTGGGAGCCCAGCGGTGCATTGCACGCCCCGGCATGGCGGTGGGGATGGTTTCCTCTCTGCTAGGCTCCCATCTGCGTGCTTGACCATCGGGCAGAGCCTTGTGCTTTGGCCTGCGGTGTCAGGAGGTGGGGGATGACCTCAACCACACGGGTTTCCGTGTTACAAAAGAGGGAAACCAAAGATGACCTTAGCAGCCCAGCAGTAAAACACAGCCCCAGCCCTCTAGCTCAAGGGGCTCGCAGGAGGAAATGCTTTTCTCTGCATCAGCAACTTGTTGAAAGAAATGAGGATGTTTAATGCAAGTGTCAGGAAAAAGCAGTATTTATCTGTGGGGTGTGCACTGAAATGATCAGGACACAGTTGTCCCAGTTATTGCACAGACCCACAGCTTAAAGAATCCCTGCTTACAGAATTCCTGCTCCAGAGGCACAGCGGTTTTAGCAAGTCATTGAAGGAGAAGGAAAAACAGATTTTCACCTTTGCAGGTTATAGAAGTGGCAAGAGAACTAATTCTGTTCTGGAATTAGGTTGCCAGTAGCATTAGCTGTGCCATGTAAACTGCTGAGAAACACTGCCTGTCCACTGCAAAGCATTTCAACTAAGTTATTTGCCTATTTTCCTGCTAAGATGGTTCCGTGGCTTTTTGGCATTTCTTCTGCAATTGCTACCAGGTTTGTGTGTGAGGAAACACAAATCACTACCAGACACCTGCATCCCCTTTTGCAGCCTTTCCCTGG